AAAGAGACAAAAAGAAAACAGAAGAATAGAATATAAATGTGGGAATTAGCAAAAAGGATAAAGATAGGAATGGGAAGAAGTTGCAAAGGAGAAGAAAGGAATTAGGTGGGTAGCGACAGCGTGAGAAAGAGACAAAAAGAAAACAGAAGAATAAAATATAAATGCGGGAATTAGCAAAAAGGATAAAGATCGAATCGGGAAGAATTTGCAGAGGACAAAGAAATTAGATGGGTAGCGACAGCGTGAGAAAGAAACAAAAAAAGAAATACAAGAAAAAGGATAAATGCGGGAATTAGCAAAAAGGACATAGATAAAAGTGTAAACAAGTTACCAAGGACAAACGCATTAGACGGATAGCAACTGCGTGAGAAAGCAACAAATAAGGAAACATAAGAAAAAGGGTAAATATAGGAATTAGCAAAAAGGACAAAGATCGAATTAGAAAGAAGTTGTAAAGGACAAGGAGTAGCGATTGCGTGAGAAAAAAAAAGAAAGAAACAGAAGAATAAAAGATGAGAACTAGTATATAGGACAAAGATAACATTGGAAAGAAGTTGCTAAGAAAAGGATTAGACGGTAGTGACTGCGAGAGGAAGGAACGAATAAGGAAACGATGAGAAGGACAATACGAAGAAGGAAACAAAGGAAAGTGTGGGGACTAGCAAAAAGGACCAATACAGAATTAAGAAGAACTCGCTAAGGAAGAAACATTGAACGAGTAGAACATGTGTGGAATTCACGATGAACAGATTACAACAGGAACAACGAAAGGAAGGACAAGAAAACACACGAATATGCATATTCGTGTGTTTTCTTGTCCTTCCCTTCGTTGTTCCCGTTGCGAGGAAAAGAGAGTAACAGTGAGAATACGATTGATTTACCGAGAAGGAAAGAAAATAGGAAATGTGGGTAGTAGATTTTTGGGTGATGCAGTGTGATTATGAAGATTATAATGTTTTCTGATTTTCATCACAGAAAAACTGTTAGGAAGGAGCGGGTATAAATCAAATAATGATAATAAATGAATAAGTTAATATCAGACGAGAATTTAAGACACGGGTTCTCCAACCTGGAGGACATGGCTCCCACGGGGGGAAGGCACGGAGCAATATGAATAATTTGACGGTGAATTAAACTGAATTTTATCTCAACTGCGGTGCCTACATATAATTTTCTCTCACTTACCAGTAAATTGGAATCTTTCCATAGTGTTCTTGTCCTGTAGCTATTACCATTACACTATTTATAACTAATAACAACTGAATCTGATAAGATGACAGTTACTGAAGGGGCCATGGAGATTAATATATATTCGTCGGGAACCACGGAATTAAAAAAAAAAAAAAAAAAAAAAAAAAAAAAAAAAAAAGTTAGGAACCACTGACCTTATAGTTTCTTGGGAGAAGAGGTGTAGAATACACTCAATGTCCTGAAAGATTACAATGGATTATTCAAAGTAAATTCCTATAGAATGCCATTTATAATAGAGTTGGATGTGGAACAGACTTAGATATAGTGGAAGTCATCAGTGGAGGGATTGTGGAAAGGATAATTCAAAGTAAAGTAGACACGTGTGAGAGACTAATGAGTGTACAAATATGGGGGAGCTGCCAACTGACCCCATATGATTCGAATAGATTGATGAACAATATGAGAGAGTGAGAGAAAGAGACAGACAGACGGACAGACATACATTTTGTGTGTGTGTGTGTGTGTGTGTGTGTGTGTGTGTGTGTGTGTGTGTGTGTGAGTGAGTGAGTGAGTGAGTGAGTGAGTGAGTGAGTGAGTGTGTGTGTGTGTGTGTGTGTGTGTGTGTGTGTGTGTGTGTGTGTGTGTGTTTGCATTTGCATTCATGTGTACATATATGCGTATATATGCCTAATACCTGTCCATAAAGACACATATCAATTTATCACTTATTACCTATCTGTCTCCATTTATGCAAGCACTTCACAAGCAATGTTCCCCCAACAATTCTTTCCCACCCGAATACACACTGAAACACCCCCCCCCCCCCCTGTCTTCTCTTCACCATACAGTGTTAGCGGACTCGTTTCAAGATGAAGGGGTTTGATGACGTCATGTCCAATGTGGGAAGTCACGGACCGTACCAGCGCCGAGTATTACTGGGTATCATCTGTCCTACCAGTATCCTCGGCGCTATAACAGTGAGTACCTTGTTACTGGTATTTGGCAGGGTCGAAATTACAGTATTTTATTCTTGGTATTTTGGTAGTTTCGAAACTAATGCTGAAATGGATACTTTCTTATACGTATTTTGTCTTGCTATGGACCTGTTGGTTACTTACTGCTGGTAAGTATACTGTAGAATAAAATGATGAAACATATTGTTGATATAAGAACACTGTAGATAGAAAATGAAATGAATAAAAACATATTGATCTCGTCTCTCTCTCTCTCTCTCTCTCTCTCTCTCTCTCTCTCTCTCTCTTCTCTTTCTCTTTCTCTTTCTCTTCTCTTTCTCTTTCTCTTTCTCTCTCTCTCTCTCTCTCTCTCTCTCTCTCTCTCTCTCTCTCTCTCTTCTCTCTCTCTCTCTCTCTCTCTCCTCTCTCTCTCTCTCTCCTCCCCCCCCCTCTCTTTCTCTCTACGTTTGTCTGTTTTTGTCTCTTTCCCTCTTTCTCCTTTTCTTTACAAACTAAACCACAGATGAATATTTTGCTGTTCCAAGTAACAGTGCCAGATCATTGGTGCCACGTACGAGGTCAGGAAAATACCTCCTATTCCCACGAAGCCTGGTTAAACCTTACCATACCAAGGTGAGTATACGGTACCAATCGGTATCAATTCATTGTTAATGACCATTATACCATTACCTTTTTTTTTTTTTTTTTATCAGAATCCACTTGTTTTATTAAATTTCAATTTGTGTTATATACTTTTTTATACGTTTTAGTTGGACGAGGGTACTTGTGAAAAAAATTGTCTGTTTGAAATTAAAGTAATTTCGTTCCACAGAGATATAAAAACGGGCAAATTGTCGGAGTGTCGTCAGTACAGAGTGGAGTGGACGACGGAACAAGGGAACCGGTCGTTAATCGTCCACAACGACACACGTGGTACGGTTGCATGCTTGGGTTAGATATAATGAAAGAGTGAGGGAGAGGGAGAGGGGGAAGGGGGGATGGGGGGAGAGGAGAGGAAAATGGAGGTGGAGGGAGAGGGTGAGAGAGGAAGTGAGAGAAAAGATGGAGGGAGAGGAAGAGAGAGAGAGGGGGAGGGAGGGAGGGAGGGAGAGAAAGGGAGAGAGAGAGAGAGAGAAGAAAGAGAGAGAGGGGGGGAGGAGAGAGAGAGAGAGAGAGAGAGAGAGAGAGAGAGAGAGAGAGAGAGAGAGAGAGAGAGAGAGAGAGAGAGAGAGAGAGAGATGAGAGAGAAGCTACCATCAGGAATATATCTATATATATGTATACTCGTATTTGTATTCACACACAGATACACATATATACCTACATATGCGCGTGTGTCTGTGTGTGTTAGTGTGTGCATGCGTGCGTGCGTGTATATATACATATAAGCATAAACAAACAAAACCCTTAAAAATTTAATGTATCACCTCTCCCCCCCCCAAAAAAAAAAAAATAAGTAAATGAATAATAACAAATAGTCAGCCCCACCCACCCAAAAAATAAAAAAATAAATAATAATAAACAAATAAAATAAATAAACAAATAAATAATAAATAAACAAATAAATTTAAAAAACGATTTCTCCTTTCCCCCCCCCCACCAGCATGCGAGTCCGGATGGAACACGACACTTCGGAATTCGACGACACAATGGCCACCACGAACGAATGGCTTTGCGAGAAAAAGAGTTACTCGGATCACGTCTACTCGATCAACATGGCAGGGAACAGCATCGGCAGTATTATCCTGCCTGTGCTAGCTGATAGATAGTAAGTTGTGGTTCTGGGTGTGGTTGTTGTTCGGGGTTGTGAGAACGGTGGGGAGTTTGGTTTAAGTTGTGGTTCTGGGTGTGGTTGTTGTTCGGGGTTGTGAGACGGTGGGGGTTTGGTTTAAGTTGTGGTTCTGGTGTTGGTTGTTGTTCAGGGGGGGGGTTTGGGAGAGATTGGGGAGGTTTGTGAGTTTTTGGTGTTGGTGAGAGAGAAGGTGTAGGGTTTGGTTCGTGAATTTTTGTTTGTTTGTTGTTGATGGGTTGTGAGAGAGTTGTGGAATTTGTTTGAGTTGTTGTTTGGTGTTGGTGAGAGAGAAGGTGTAGGGTTTGGTTTGTGAATTTTTGTTTGTTTTTTTTGGTGGGTTGTGAGAGAGGTTGTAGTGTTTGGTTTGTTGTTGTTTGGTGTTGGTGAAGAGAGAGACGTGTAGGGTTTGTTTGTGAATTTTTTTTGTTTTTTGTTGGTGGTGGGTTGTGAGAGAGGTTGTAGTGTTTGGTTTGTAAGTTGTTTGGTGTTTGGTGTTGGTGAGAGAGAAGGTGTAGGGTTTGGTTCGTGAATTTTTGTTTGTTTGTTTTTTGTTGGTGGTGGGTTGTGAGAGAGGTTGTCGTGTTTGGTTTGTGAGTTGTTGTGGTGACGTGAGAGAGAAGGTGTAGGGTTTGGTTTGGTGAATTTTTGTTTGTTTGTTTTTTGTTGTGGTGGGTTGTGAGAGAGGTTGTCGTGTTTGGGTTGTTTGTTTGTTGTTTGGTGAGAGAGAAGGTGTAGGGTTGGTTTGTGAATTTTTGTTTGTTTGTTGTGGGGTTGTGTAGAGAGGTTGTAGTGTTTGGTTTGTAGTGTTGTTTGGTGTTGGTGAGAGAGAAGGTGTAGGGTTTGGTTTGTGGAATTTTTGTTTGTTCGTGGTGGGTTGTGAGAAAGTTGTAGTGTTTGGTTGATATTGTTGTTGTTTTAGTTGGTGGTGGTGGGTTGTGAGAGAAGTTATAGTATTTTGTTTGTACGTTGTTTATTGTTGGTGAGAGAAGCTGTAGAGTTTGGTTTGTAGTTTTTTGTTTGTTTTTTGTTGTTGATGGGTTGTGAGAGAAGTAGTGTTATGGTTAGCAAATTGTTGCTTGTGAAAGGTTGTAGATAGTAGTTCTGATGTTTGTTGCTGATGATGGATTGTGAAAGAAGCTGTGTTTGCAAATTGCTGTGTTCACGGATTATAAGAAATGTAAGTTGTATTTGGTTTCGAAATTGTTTGTTTTGATAAACTGTAAGAAATAGAAGTAGTCTTGAGTTTACAAACTGTTGTCACTGTCCTTGGTAGATTATGATACAAGTCATAGTGTTTGGTATACAAATTGTTGTTGTTAAAGTTGTGTTTGTAGACGTTAAGTAGTCACTTTGCTGTTCATTGTCCTTAACGACTTGAGGAGGGGCACATTGGCTTTGTTTGTGTGTTGTTTCTCTTCTTTTCGTGTACACTATAAGAGAGGGAAGAATATTATTTCATTTTTCACTATCATTTTTCAAAGACTGCTTAGAAATATTATCATTGTCATATAGTGCACTCATTACATTCCACCGTATGGAAATTGACAATTAGTCCGAAACTGGCACATTACCAATCTAAAAATAACTACACCAATTCCATCTATTCTAACGTACCGCAATAACGACTTTTCCTACAGCATAGGTCGTCGGTATATGTTCTACCTAGCGCTCCTCATCCACATAGTCTTCACGCTGCCGGCTGTATGGGTTTCGAATTATGGCTTCCACCTCGCACTCAGGTTCTTGGCCGGTCTAGCGTTCGAGACTAACTACATGATGCCTTATGTTATAGGTAAGGACGAGGTGTGTGTGTGGAAGGGGGACTTGTGTGGTTCAGCCTTCGAAATCTATTCTCTTTTACCTCTCTAACTCAGGTTTTCTTCTCTTCTTTTTCTTCTTCTTTCGATTCCCCCCCCCCTTTTTCTTTCTTCTTCTTCTTTCGATTTTCCCCCTCTTTTCTCTCTTTTTCTTTTTCTTTTTTTCATTTTTTCTCTCTCCTTGACTTTCTCACTCTCGCTCGCACGTTCTCTTACTCTGTAATTCTCTATTTCTCTCTCTCTCTCTCTCTCTCCCTCCCTCATACCGTAATATCATCCACAAAAAACAGAGACAGAACACACCTTGCTTCACTTGCGTCACAACACCAAAGCCATTTTAATTTTTCCACCTCCCTCCCTCCCTCCTCTCTCCTCCGGCCATCCACGAAGAAAAAGTCCCCCACCACAACATGAACACTAAAGCCACTCTCTTCTCTCTCTCTCTATCCTCTTCCTCTCCCCCTCTCTCTCCTCCATCCACGATGAAAAAGTCCCCCACCACAACATGAACACTAAAGCCACTCTCTCTCTCTCTCTCTCTCTCTTCTCTCTCTCCTCTCTCTCTCTCTCTCTCTCTCTCTCTCTCTCTCTCTCTCTCTCTCTCTCCTCCTCTCCTATCCCTCCTTCCTCTCCCCTCATCTCAATCACGAAGAGAAAGTCCACCTTGCTTCACTTGCACCACATCACTGCAAACAACACTGCTCTCCCTCCCTCCCTCGCTTCCCTCCTTCCTATCCCACGAAAAGTCCCCCTTGCTTCACTTTCCTCACAAACATAAACACAAAGCCACTCTCTGTTCCCTCCCTCCATCCTTCTCTCCCCCCTCTCCCTCCACGAAGAGAAAGTCCCCCCCCCCCCTTGTTCACTTGCACCACAACATGAACAACAAAACTGCTCTCCCCCCTCCTCCTCCCTGTCCCTTCCCTCCTCCCCATTCAACGAACAACAAGAAACACCAAAGCCACTCTCTCTTGCTTTCACTTCCTCAAATAACACTGCAAACCAAAACCTTCCCCTCCATCCTCACATCCACCAGGAAAAAAAAAACTTCCAAGCTTCATCTTTCTCAACAATTAAACCCTCCCTCCTCTCCCTCTCTCCCCTTCCCTTCCTCTCCACCTTCTTCAACTCCTCAGCACTGCAAACCTCTCTTCTCTCCTCTCCTTCCTCTCCCTCCCTCCCTCCTCACATCCACCAGGAGAAAGTCCCCCTCCAAGCTTTCACTTTCCTCAACAACACTACAAACCCTCTCTCCCTCCTTCCCTCTCCTTCCCTTCTCCCTCCATCCACCAGGAAAAAAAACCTCCTAACTCACTTTCCTCAACACTGCGAACCCTCTCTCCCTCCTTCCTTCCCTCCTCCCTCCCTCTCCTTCCTCTCCCTCCCATCCACGAAGAGAAAGTCCCCCTCTACATTCACTTCCTCAATAACACTGCAAACCCTCTTCTCCCTCCTTCCCTCTCCCTTCCTCTCCCCTCCATCCACGGAGAGAAAGTCCCCTCCAAGCTTCACTTTCCCTCAATAACACTGCAACCCTCTCTCCCTCCTCCTCTCTCCTCTCCTCCCTCCACATCCACCAGGAGAAAAAAACCCTCCTTGCTTCACTTTCCTCAATAACACTGCAAACCCTCTCTCCCTCCTCTCCCTCTCCCTCCTTCCCTCCCATCCACGAAGAGAAAGCCCCCCTCCTCGCTTAATTTTCCTCAATAACACTACAAACCCTCTCTCCCTCCTTCCTCTCCCTCCT